ACACAAAAACAGAAGAAAGTCAGTTTTGGAATAACATGAGGTTGAGTAAATGATGACAGATTTTTTTCATTTTTGGGTGAATTCCTATCCCTTTACGAGAAGATCATGCGTTCTAATCATGTCTAATTTTAATTCCTTAAAAAGTTCCTTATGCAAGAGCACTATAAAATTAGGCCTGGTCATGTTTTACATGCAGATGCTGCATCTGTCATGTTGGTCAGAGGCTGGATACTCTCAGATAGCCACACAGGCAACACTAGATGTCAGTGTTCTCGCTGATGTCGGGCTGCAAGCTTTTTGTTTGTGGGAAGGGGAAGGAGAAGCAACTAGTTTGAGAAGATGATGCTTGCACTTCAGAACTTGGGGGTCCTGATGGATTTCTTTATATTAGAGGGACTGTCTATGAGGAGTTAGGGGCTATTACTGTGCCAAGCCTGATCACAGGGCATCACTTTCATCTTGCCAACACTTTTGTATAATTAGCAGAAATTTGCTGAGATGTGTTTTCTCCTCCCTTCATTTCCTAAGATGAATCATCAGGAGTATAGACTAAACTCCCTTTCTTAGCTCCTAGGATGCAAAAGTTAAATGTAAAATTAATGCTTGGTCTTATTTAGAACATATATTTAGTATTTTTTCTTTTCTGTTTTGCGCTTTGAAGCTGTTGGATTGGATTCACCTAACATGCCTTACACACTTCTGGAGGCACATTCTATAAGTTTGAGTTTTGACAGAAATTGTGTAGCATTAAAGTATGTTTCTCATCTTGTTCTTAATGATCATAAACAAACAAAAAGAACTCAAGTCATAAATAATCTATCCACTCACAAGAGTTTTAATCTTGAACCTGCCTGTGGTCAGTCAATAATAGCCTACTAAGATCTCTCAGGGTCATTCTATAAATTGTGTGATTTTTTTAAAGAATAAATGTCATTCTATGCACTCTGTCAGACAAAGAATGACTATTAGGATGAATATTACATATAAATATTATATCCTATGAAGTATTACTTATTGTAATCTAAGTGTCTTTGAGAAATAAGATGAATTGTTTATAAAAATTATTCGTTTAACTGTTAATGTTAACTTTCCCACCTTTAAATAAATTTAATTGTTTTACACACAATGGGTACAGAAAGCAGGCTTTTGGTGAAATGACCCCTAGCGCCGAATCTACTCAATTTCGTGATGACGTCACGGGAGACGGCTCAGTTTCGATGTTTGTGAGCACCAATCAGAGCGCAGAAAAACCCGGAACTTCTGAGAGCGTAAGAAAGAGCGTCTGTATTCAATTTGAAAAGAACGAACGTCAGGTATGGAATGTTTTTGCGTTTATACGTTCTATATCGTTTTATATGCGATTTTATAAATGGTAACTGGATCATGAAGTTAGCTATATAGGCTATAGCCTATTTTACAGTCTAGTTTTATTCTCAAGAACACGTGACAGCAGAAGTGTAGGCTACTTCTACATTGTTTTTGAGTTCAGTCATGCGAAAAAGTGTTCATTCTTTATGAGTAATTCAGATATGCCATACTCGATATTAATTATTGTCTCCAAATCTCCTAACGTTACGTTTAAGTCGCGAGCGGTGACTCAATGAAAATAGTCTGTCTTTGCTTATGGTGACCTCGTATGTTTGTGTGTATCTTTTAAAATCTGTTTTGAAAATAGTTATCTAAATAGGATCCGAAATTCTGTGTTTTTGATATTTAGTGATTTGAAAATCAAAATTTTGCTTTCACAAACACATTAAAAGCAAGTAAAGCTACGTATTTATTTAACCCTCATGTTCTTTTTAGGATCTAAGAGACCCTTAAATCGAAGTATGTTTAAAGTAGGCTATATTTGTTTGTACTTATACTAAAGATTGATACTTGATGCTTTTGTGAATTGTAAGAGCTGATTATAAACGATTTCTTACTCAATGAGATCATATTTCATTCACTGACGTTAGATTACTGTATCTGTAGTCTCAGAGACCCCATATATAAAACAAGAAATAAATGTAGACTATAGAAGTACACCCCTGCGGCAAAAACACACACACAAAGTAATAAAAAAAATAATAAATGCAGCTAGGTTATTAGGTCTATTTGTTTTTGTTTTTTTTTGTTTTTGTTTTTTTTCTTCAACAATGACTTGTTGCTGGAGTCAAACTGAGACCTATACAAATCATTTTACTATTACTTACTATATATACACTATATAATTCCACGGTGATGGAAAATCTCTGGAAATCTAGTTGTAAAATTGTGATTTCTTTGGCCTGCAAAAATCATGGAAATTAGTATCTTAAGAAGTCATGCGAAAGTCATGAGAATTTCTATAGGGAATCTAAATGTTTATGCTTTGGCTCAGCTTTGAAATATTTAATCAGCTAGTTGTTGCTGTTTGTAGAGTTAAACTTGCTGTAGGCCATCATGATGACATCTGTTTGCTTTTATTGGACCTTATTTGGACTTGTTTCCATTTTTATTTTAAAAGCTTGGAATCTGACATACTAAATCTTACAGGTATTTAAAAAGGGAAAAAATCAATAGTTTGAAGAGAAAATGGCGCAAATGTCTTACAATTGTCTAAATTCGTGGTCATTTATCATTAGAACTAAAACAGTAAACGTTTTTCATTACCTGAAATAAAATAAAGGTTAAATTAAGTAAAAAATTATAATAAACTTAAAATAATTTTTATTTCAGCTGCAGTAGTTGCCAAGGCAGCCTTTCTCATTTTTAAGTACTAAAATTACTTAAACGGAATAAACTAAATAAACGAAAGCTAATAAATAAAAATGAATACAAAACTATATAAAAAAATTAAATGACAAAAACACACACAAAATTCTAGAACTAACTAAAATGAAAGAAACAGAAAATATAAAAAAATAAAATCTAATTCTAAATATTAACAAAAAGTATAATATCATTCCAGTTATAATGGCACTGTAGATCTTACCGAAACCTTCAGAGCAATAACAGTGAGTGGGAATATTTGGACATGCTCCAGCTCCGCCCCTCATCCATGTGGCTCTTCTGGGAAGCAGATCTGTGGACTTGCCAATGCTGATGATGTTGCACTGCTTTATTTGCAGGTGTTACCCAACACCTTCATATTCAGATACAAGAGTGTTTGTAAAGAAAACCAGAGTTTGTCTGTGTAATTTTCCTTATGTATGCATAAAACCTTATCCTGAACAAAAGAAAGTGGTCTTGTTTAATATAAGCGCTGAGTTATGCAAACAAACCCTGCTGGTTGCTCCATATTTAGTCTTTTTAACTAGGTACTCCTGACCCCAGTCCTCTTCAGCTGGCTTTTAATTGGCTTCACTGGGCCTAAAATGCTGCAATATTTCTCGAAATTGACTGCTTATTTGAGTGTCGAGACTCGAGAGTGATGCAATTTACAGTAAGTTGCTGGTAAAAATGGACTGTGGCTTCAGACGCAGCACTTAGCAGAGGCTGCATGGGGCACGAGGAACTTCAGGGGATGCATTTCACGTTTTATGGAGGTTTTGTACAAACATGGGGACGGGCACCACAAAGGCAGATGGGATGGGATTTTTTGGTACTTTCGCTCCTCATGGATACCCGTATGCACACCTCTTAGTCTTTTTGGGTTGATCGGGCTGCCTTGTTTACAGTGTGTTATAGAAGGGCTGACGCCAGCCTCCCTCGGGAGGGAACAAGGGTTAATTGCTGTTAAAGTGTTGTTCTCGTTCCTCTTTCTGGCCCTGACGCTCCATTAGAGCTGACACTAATGAGGCAGTGCAGAGAGGACACCCCGGAGTCAAGGGACCGCACCACCAGCTGGGGGAGGGAGTCATGATGGAGAGACTGAGACTTTACTTAGCTGAGAGAGAGAGAGAGAGAGAGAGAGAGAGAAAGCATGCACTAAGTCATAGATCAAGAGTGTGTGTTGTTCAGTGTTGTTGGGATGTGTGTAGGCTTGGCTTCTCTTAATTGGAGGCTTACCCTCTGCATATGTTGTTTGTTTCTCATTACGAATTCATAGGGGACTGAATAGCTGGTCGTCCCTCATACTAGGTCTGTTTAGCCAATGGCATTTGCTTAGTTATTGGACTGTATTGATTGTAATTTAGAAATATCAAAATATGGATTTTCAACACCCTAATAATGTACATTATGAAATTGGCTAAATAAGTACTTTTATAAAAAAAAAAAATTGATCATTGATTAATGAAGTCTACAAAAGATGTGAAGCTGCTCTAAAATTATTTAATATTTTAAATATTTTCATTTATTTTTATTTTAATAAGTACTATATAGAATTCTATAAGTTGTATCGACTACAATATGTAATAATTAGTGCTGTCAAATTATTAATCGCATCCAAAATAGTAGTTTTGCTTAGGCTGCGTCTGAAAGCCTATTTATTAAGCATATATAAATACACACACATGCATTTAAGAAAAATATATTGTTTATATATTAAATATATTTATATATAAAATAAATTATATGAATATAAATTTATACATATAAATACATGTAAATATATATATACAGATTAATATACATTATAATGAATTTGATGAAATCAGAAAATAAACTCTAATTCACTTATTTTATATAAAATTATAAATTATTTTAAAAAATATGAATATGAGCAAACTCAGTGAAAGAAATTAAATAATAAAAAGTCATTTAATATTTGAAATATTTGCCATTTATTTTATATTAGTTCTATTTAAGAACTTTATACAATTCTTTATAGTTTTGTTCAGTGTATATATATATATATACGCACACATACACAAATTAATATATAATAAATAATTTGAAAGTTAGTATTTAAGTATATATGTATTTAAGTAAAGTAATAAAAAATCATTTTAATTCAAATTAGAATTTTAGTTTTTTAGTAACTCAACTTCAGATATATATTAAATATGTAGATTTCATTTATCGTCATTACATTTTTATTTTGGTCAACAACCGATAATTTGATGTCTGTTTAATAGTGGTTTTCTGTTTTGTAGCTATAACACTGATCTGGAGTCAGCACCCTCAACTGGTCGGTCATGAGTTTTGCTCCGAGTCCGTTCACCCCCATGGGCATCCGCAGCATTCAGGAGCAGCGGGACCGCTGGGAGAGGAAGAGGAGCCGCACGGCCCGCGAGCTAGTCCTGAGTGAACAAAGATACTGCGAACAGCTGGATCTGGTCGTCACGGTTAGTCTCTCTACAGGCCCAACATTACACAAACGCCCATGGGCTGAATTGGTCGATCTTGTATCAAACAATACACTGATGGAGAATCACTTGTCTTGTCAGGGCTGGATTTAGTCATAGAAACAGAAAAATGTGTTGATTGTCAGAATATCCTAAATTAATACAAATCTGAAATTCTAATTATCTTCGAGAGCTTTATTCACTGTTTCAACAGCACAAAGTTTTCCATTCATTGAGTGGTCCTTGACACCATCACAGGGCTATTCTTTTGAAATTCATAGTTTATAACCTGTTCAAGGCTTTTATTTTGCAGCTAATTCTTTTTACCTTTAAGATCACTGAGTTTTCCGTGCCATTTCTGTGCGCATTTTGTTGTATATCAAAATAATTGGCATTTGAATTTGCAAAGCTAACACAGCGAACTCGCACGTCGGTCTTATTGTTTTCGAATGCCGCAGCTAATTAAACGGTTGACCGTTAAAACGCGACTTATTTTGAGAAACCAAACCACGTCGCCTCCCGCCTCTGGTGGAGTTGTGTTAGATATGCGGCTCATATTAAGCCGTTGGAGGTAATTGAGATGTCATTGCTGCAAAATGCTTGGCTCTCCACACATTTGTTCTCGCTTTGTCTCAAGGGTGTGCGACGAGAGGTGACACTCTCGGTAAGATGAAGAGTCATGTACGAGTGGCGTCTGAAAATTTAATTTTCTCTTCCTCCTGTCTCTTTCTTTTCTCCAGTACTTTGTGGAGATCTTGAAGGCCAAAGGAACCCTCAGGCAGGACATTAGAGAAAGCATCTTCAGTTCAATTAAATCCATTCATTTAATAAACCAGTAAGTATCCTTTAAATAATTAAGTGAATATTCGCGCTCAGGGGAGAGAGACGGCTGAGGGTGGCTGGCTTTGATACCGTTTAAAAAGGACGAGAGGGTAGGGGAGTATTAATTGGGGTCTAACAGGAGAATCAAGTTTGAGAACTTGGAGATTGCCTGGTGTGCCTTATCTTATGTTATTCTCTTTAATTGGATTGAGAATCGATGCGGATGCTGGATTTAGGCTTACAGATGCACTTTCTCCAGAGTATTTCATGTTATCCCGCCACTATTACCATCAGAGGTGATGGCTGCCTGTTCATAATGGCCGCTGTTTGTGTTTTCTAAGCCTTATGTGTTGATAAAAATAAGCGTTTGCAATCGCTGAGGTTTTAAACATGTATTTTTAATGAAAGTGTTCATTACCATGCGTTCATTACTGATACTCACAGTCTTTCCACTATACTGTAGCTGATTCGCCAGTTATAGGCATCAGGCTATTCAATACAAAGTTTAAAGTCAGAATGAAACACCGTTCGCAACCCATTTCAAGTTGGCACAGCAGTCAGGTTTTTTGCACTTCTGAGTAACACTGGATATTCAATATAAATTAATTGGTGCAGGACCTGATTTTATCCTATAAGATCTCGTTACGATACCAACATTTCAGTAGTTGTAATGTACTTTTTGTTCTTATGGTTTTGACAAATGCTTTTATTCAAAGCAGGACAGGGCGTTCAAGCTTTATGTCAGTATTTTAGGAACAAACTCATAATAACCTTGGCATTGTTAACATTATACTCTATGGGAAGTTTTGTGATTGTCAGTACCATAAAATGCTATTTAATTCAGACAAAATAATATGAAATAATATATTATTGATATAATAACATTAATATTAACAAATTAAATTAAAATAAAATAATGTTTTTTTTTAATCCAACCAGATTTTTTCTTGAATTTTTCAAAATGTATTTATTTTTTTATTATTATTATTATTATTATTATTTTTTAATGGTAATCAAACCAGTAAACAGTCTGTATTTATCTGGAAATAATTGAAAACAGTTTTTTGGGGATCAACATTCCTTTATTAATATTAACTGCATAGACAACAGCAGCTCTGTTGAGCTGTATTTAGATCTAATATTTTATTAAAATTTATTAAGTCCTTTTTGTTTTTGTCCGAAACTTTTACACTCTCTTAAAATAAACAATAATATACCAATAAATGGATTTGATTGTGAACCAGTGTTGTTATTGTAAAATTCTTTAAAAATTGTCTTCGGTAACTGAAATAAAGCTTAAATAAAATATAAACAGAAGATGAAAAAATGTAACTTAAAAAAAATTGAAATTTTGCTTTGGTGAATAACTGAAATAAATACATTAAAGTACAAAATTTGAAATAAAAAATGTTTACATTTATGCATTTGGCAGACGCTTTTATTTTAGTGACTTGCATTACATTTAATGAAATATAAAAAAACAAAAAGACAAATGCGTATAAAAATGCCTAAAACTTGTATAGATAAAAGCTATAAATAAAAGCTCCTTCAAACTAGTAATAAATACTACAATAGTCTATAAATAATATTAAAATAACAGCCATGAGTGCTTGCAGGGCATGGATGCAAATATGCAAATTATACTAAAATGTTTTTAATTTTGGTAGCAACTTCGAACTGAAGTACCGACACTTTTGACAAGGGCAGTGGGTTGGAAAATTTGAGATATTTTCGATGTCAGCTAAAAAGAACGAATCAGTCATTTCAGTCCGAGGTGTAGATATATAGTCTACAATAATATGAAATTCCATGATGACTTTGATAATGTCTTTGTTTTTTACCGGTGGTAGAGTGGTCATGCTAAGTTGTGAAACCCAGCTGTGACTCTTCCGCATACAGACGATTAGACACTCTGCTTGAGGGGCATTTATGACAGCTTGAGCAAATGAAAAGCCAGAGCCGCTGGAAACGAGGTGCTGGAGATGAAATAATACATCAGAAAAACTGGCCTGAAGAGCAGTCGGCATTGATCTGCCCATGCGGGCTGGGCAGACTAACAACAAATTAACTCACAGGTGTCAAGAAGCCTGTTCTTGTTAATTTTATCTGAGGCTATCTATGGCACAGAGCTCTCGTGAAGCGTTTTGTGTTTTGATGTACCACATCTGAAAGCAAAAATAGAAAAGCATGCCTCTCCAAATGTCCAATAGCCTGTAAGCGAACACGCTTCAAGCTTTTTATTAAGACCTTCAAGCTTGCATTAGAGAGATCATTGCTCCTCAGTGCAGAGGAGCGGTGTTTGATATATTTAACAACATGATCAATCTTAGAAAATTTACCTGACAAGCTCAGAGAGATGTTACCTAACAGGAAAAACCTAGTGAGGAGATTTCATTAGTCCTGAATTGGCCAAAGTTTTCATACGAGTTAATACAGCGTGGTTTTGTTGTGTACATATTACCAAACGACTGGAAGGGGAACTACTGACTGCCTTTAAGGGCCTCATCCAGGCCCTGTTGATTGAGAATCATAAAATTGTCTGAATAATGAATCACCGTGGGTCCCCGAGGCTCCCATCAATGCCTGATTGACGGGCCTCTCTACAAACAGTGGCTGAATGAAGATGGAGGGCTGAGTTTCAGAGCCCGATGTATTGGATAAATCGGTGCTCGGTTACCATATATCATCATTAGAATCGGTTATTGAAGTGCTGGGTGAAGCGTAATGGCAGTCTCTCAATTTAGATCTGTGAACAGACAGCAGCGGCTGACTGATTAAAACGAATAAAGTGCTCGCGTTCTCCAAAACCACATCGTTATCAGGAAGCTTCTTCAGATGCACATTGATATCTGCGCTGGCTGCTGAAGGTTATTTGAATCCTTAGCTGAAATCATCACTTTTTATCTTGGACTAGTTGTAGCGCAGAAAAACAGAGAACAAGGACAAGGAGGTGAGCCGTAGATTTAAAAAAAAATTAATACAAATTTTTTCAAAACCTCTGACTTTTTTTATTCTGTGAAATGAAAAAGGAGATATTTAGCAGGTTGTCCAAGCTGCTCTTTTCCATACAATGAAAGTGAATGGTAAAAGTTACTGATAAAAGTAATGCATTACAATATTGCTTTACAAAAAAGTAACTGTTACTTAGTTACTTTTTTACAAAGTAATGCATTACGTTACTTTTGTGTTACTTTTTGTCACCTGAGCTGATGCTTATTTATTTTTAATAACAAAAATCTCAAAAGTTCTATTTTTGGCAACTTTAAAGGCCCTTTCACACCAAAAGTGAAATTAATAAGCCTTATCTGAAAAAGTGAATTTGAAAGTAATGCGTTACTTTACTAGTTACTTGAAAGAAGTAATCTGATTACATAACTCGCATTACTTGTAATGCGTTACCCCCAAAACTGATGGTGACTGCAGCTACCAGTTTCATAGCACTCTTTTGGACTCTTTTTCACACAAACTTGTATGGCATCAGAAACACTACTTTAATGGTGATTTTTTATTTTCTTTGTAGAGCTTGACTGCCCCTTGGCCACCTTCCTCTTTCGTTGTATGGAAAAGAGCAGCCTGGACATTTTTCAAAACTTCTCCTTTTGTGTTCCACAGAAGAAAGTCATGCATGTTTGGAACAACATGAGGATCAGAAATTTTTTTTTTTTAATTAGAAATTATTGTATTTGTACATTTTATGCATTTGGCAGAAATACATTTTGAATGAGAAAATTTATTTTATTATTTTTATTTATATTTTTATAAAAAAATTTATTTTACATTTTATGCTTAAATTTCTGATGTATTATTTCAATTAATTGTATTTTTATTTTTTTTTTATACAGTCTTATAAGTGATTATATAACCCGAGGACAATGCAAACCAATCATTCCCAGTTTTCGGTAAAACCTTCAAAATGATGGCAGCCTCAAAGGCGACAGTAATACGATGACATTCTAAGAAAATATCTGTCTGCTCTATTTAAGTTTAAAAGAATAGCTTGCAGTTGGTTTGAAGTTCATTGTTTGTACATCACATGATGCTCTTGGGTCGGTAAAGACAAATACATTCCGTATTCATTAAACGCTGCTGAACAAGCAAACAAACAAACAAACAAAACTTGAATATATTGTCACGCCGCTGCCATTCATCAGAATTATGACTGTTTACCTGATGAGGGGAATAAGGCAATAGTGGGAAGAACCCAATTATCCTAGAATGCACTGTAACAGTGATCACCAACTTGAAAAGGGCTGTCACTTAAGTAGCACAGAATCAAAAACGCATTTGAGAGAGAAATATTCTGAACGAGTGCGTCTTGGGGGTTTCTTAATGACAGTAAATGTGGTGTGGAAATAGATCAAATAGTATCCGATATGAAGAAAGAGGGTCCTTGTCGCTATTGAAGGGAGGAGGGAGTCTCCCTACAAACCGAACGATGCTTTTGGGTCCTGTACATATTTGTGTTTTTACGAGTGTTTGTGTCGCTGCTAACTATTCATCGACGGTAATTAGTATTCCTCGGTTCTCGCTTCCCGCAAATGAAGCCACATAGGCCTCCATTGTTTGGTTGAGTCTGTGCCCAGCCCAGATGTCGCAACCGCTAAGAATTAATGTAGATTAACATGACGCAGGAGGAATGCTAATGTTATCTTTGTCATCTTCCTGACGGCCAGAGATTTTAATTGCCCTAAAAAAGAGCATAAAAAAATGTAAGTCGTAATTTCATATTTATCATAATAGCCTCTGGCTGTGAGGAGGAAAAAGGAAACACTATTTTTCCCGCCCTTTGCCCTCGTTAGAACTCTCTCGGCTGCTCTACCATCTCCTGATTACGAACAGAGGCTACCTTGGCTTTCAACTTCATTAAAATCTATTTAAATCAACTTCAGCCGCAAAATGCTCCTCCTTCCAGCATGTAAAAAACGCAAAGTCTCAGGGAACATCATTAGGGAGAGTGCGTGTATCCGTACCTGTATTTCTGTTTGGTCTAAGCGGTACCTACCTTGCCTAGTTTGGATAATAAGCTCCCTCACAAGTGTCAACACCCTCACCCTTGAATTATACCCATGTCACCCTAATGTGCCTGACAGCCAGAGCACCAACTCTTCCATTCCTCTTGAACACCTTGTTTTGTTCCTGATTTCGCAATGAGTGCGTTCCTGCTACAAAGCGCCACACGCTTGCCCTTGGGCGCTAGCCTCAGCACCCTTGTCTCAAATAAGTATGTCACCCACAGGGAGGGGCCCTCGCATGACACCACACAATGTGGTAAAAACACTTCCTTTCGCAAATACGTTTGCCTCTGAACTAACCCCCCTCATTATTTGTGACAAGAAGTGCCTTGATTTCCAAAACAGTATCAGGGTTATCATTGCGTTTGGAGTGCGGTGGCAAGACTGCAGGGTAGGGTAACGTGAAAGTGGGCCCTGTTATTTGTTTTTTTAAGTTAACAGTACTTAATTGTTGATGATTTGACACAGTATGACGGTTCTTTGAAAGTATTATTTAATATGTAATTGTGCAATTTAACGACAGGAAAAATAAAACTAATTAATTCAAAATTGAATAAAATATAATGAATAATAATATTAAATGTATTATTTCATTAATTAATTTGTTAGAAAATAATATAAAACATTTAATTTAAAACTTTTTTCCAATTTATATATATATTATTAAATAGAGAAACAATTAATGAAAATATAATTTATATTTTATTATATCATATTTATTTATATGTTTATTTTATTATATATTATTTATATTATTTATAATGTATGTGTACTATATATTATTTATTTTTATTTTATTTTACAGCACATTTGAGGAATGATCAATTCAATGAAGTCTGATTAAATTACGCCGCATAAAGCAAACAATATTTTTACTTCTTAACAGGACCCTGCTCACTCATCTAGAACTGGGGAGATTTGGCATTGGGTTTGAGGAGTTTTGCACTCATTTGCAGTTGTACAATACGTACGTTGACAACATTCAGACGGCTAAAAAAGTCCTCATGGTAAGTTAAAGTTAAATGTTTCATATGTTAGACTTGACCCCCTTTTTACTTCTGTTCACATGCTCAGCATTTGGCATTGACAGCCATACTTACAAATGTGACTCTTTATGTTGTACGGCCTTGAATATACGGCGAATATGAATAAATTTGACAGATTGTGTAATTTTCCTTTTCTTTTGATAATGATTTGCTATTTGAAGGTAGGTTAATTTTTTTACCTGCTATGAAATCAAATGGTCGCTGGTATTGGCTTTTCGCAAGTAAATGCCTTATTACCTGGATAGAGGTCACCTCCTTACACAAAAGCCAGTGGCTACATCTATCGATATGAAATCATGAATATGTATTCATTATAGATCTATGGTAATGTGCAGGATTGACAGTATGTCATGCTCTACTTCTAATTAGTCCAAACCTATTAAATCATTGTACGATTCCTCATCTATGGCAGCTTTTTTCACCCTGCCACATTGTTCGACTCAACCTTGTGGGGGGAAAAAAAGAAGAGAAGACACAATGTCGGGTCAGTAACTCAAAGATCGCCATTCAGAATGATTGACGTTTGGAACGGTGAAAAAAAATGGAGTCACCTACCTGATTAAGGCTTATGGATGACACTGTGCAAACAGATCTCTCCAGGCAAAGCCCAGCGGTACCATTAGGTCCAACACTACCATCTCATTACGCCTGACTTAAGTGGGCAGCCTCCATCAGTGGGCCGGAAAAAAGTGCGATAGGGAGTCTCTCTCTTTGCTAATTAGCTCCTCCCTCGGCAAGGCACCTGTACCCAAGTGTACGGATGACTGATTCCTTGTTAGACCAAATCAGTTAGTGGTTAAAGAATCATTGGCACGCCTGGCTAATGCTAACTTCTGTGTTCTGTGTGCTTGCGGTGAACTGAGGGGGCATATTAACGTGTTTCGTGCTATGCCAGTAATTGTGTCTGATACCGAATATATGCTCGAGTGTTAGCCTCGCAGCAAAGCTCTTCCAAGCTGCGTGCTAACATCTGGTTTTATTTATCTGAGGGGAAGCCTGGAGCCTCACAGATATAAATGTCTTAATTAAGAGGAGGAATACGTCTGCGGCCAATTGACTGGTTCTCATTGATTGCAGACTGAGCTGTTTAAGTTAGCATCGATTCCTCCGCTAGGCCTACATGGCTGTAATTGCTGGAACATGGGCTGGAGTGTTCGCCATGTCACATGATTCAAACATGGCTGGTTTGTCCTTCAAAATCCACCGTCGCATGAAAATGAATAAGAGAATAGCAATCTAGGCCAAGATCTCAACGTTTTCTCAACCAGTGGCTCTTTTTACAGGTTGTTACATGTTAATTTGACATTTTTAATTTCCTTTTTAGTACCATTTTTAACATTGATTGAACATATATAATAATATATGATGTGACGCTTAAATCTGTTAAAAGATAGTTTTGAATTATTTTAGAAATGCACAATATATCTGTACCATTTAAGTTATTGGCCAGTATGGATTTTTATCTATTTTTTAATTTTTTATTATTGGTGTAAATATATTTATTTGATCAAATTTAAATGAAAATCAAATATATGAAATATTATTACAATTTAAAATAACTGTTCTATTTTAATGTTAAACATTAAAATGTTCTGCTATGTTTAATAGGAATCTTGAAATAGATAAATAGAAAGGTCAAATTGACAGCGTTTGTAATCTTTAAAAATACTAAAAAATTAAAATCATTAGCAACTCTCAAAATGAATGCTATTTTCATGCTGTACATTATAATTTTGAGATGCTTATATTCACTTGTTAAATAGATTTTAATTTTTAATGTTTTGTCAGACAAAATGTGTTCATTTTATTTAAAATTATATTGTTTTTTAATTATATAATTTTGATATTGTTTAAATTTTTTTTTTTAATGACTTACCTATTATTTTAAAATGTTGAAAGTAGTGCTGGGTGGTATGACCAAAAATTTGCGGGACAGCACTGGCGAAATCTTCCAACTGAACCATAGCTAAGGTTTATCCAATAAAGTCGCTAGGTTTGTCAGTATGAATATTCTATGGAAAAAAGTAGTGATCGACCGATATTGATATTTTATAACTGATACCAATTATTTGCATGTTTATGTGCCCGATAACCGATATGCAGAACCGATATTTAT